TCAACATAGAAACCAGACCAGAATCCAATATTAAAATTTATGAGCCTTTTATTCCTGGGCCCAGGACTGCTTGACTATACTCACACAGGAGAGGACAAATGGCAAGGAACCTTAGAAGTAGAGAGGTTTTAAAGCTAGAAGCCACATCCTGTTTGGCAAACAAATTTGTCGTTTAACAAAGAACAGTACCTTTGGGGACAGCGTAACCATTACTCAGTATACATTCTTTCTGGTAGCGTTTTTTAGTTCTCATTTAACATTCATCTGCATACACATGGCCCTGACTACCAAAGCGACATTTTTCAGTTGGTTAGCAATACCTTATTTTGTACAGCTAGAAACACTTCGACCTTTAATTTGACTTACTTTGAAAGTCAATTCTGGGAAATCTCAGTCTACTCATGATTTACTGATGGTACACCAAGCCTCCTTGCAGTCTTATGAAGAAGCAGGGTTACAGAAAGCTGAACAGAGTAATTTTTTCACATTAGTTTAACATAAACTCATCACAACATCTTTTCACTTTCTGATATCCTCTTTTATCTCCTTTTTTAGGGCTATTGTAATTTTTACTGTACAGATCTTTCACATCCTTTGTTAGATTGCTTCCTAAGTATTTCAATTCGAAATAGCCCATGTTTTAGATGCTACTGTGAAGGGTGTACTTTCCTTAATTTCTCTCTCTGTGAGTTTGTTGCTTGTGTACAGGAATACTATTGATTTTTGAGTGCTGACTTTGTATCCTGCTACATTACTGAATTTGGATATTAAAGCTAGAAGTCTTTGGTGCAGTTTTTGGATTCTTCTATGTTGAGTTTCATGTCATCTGCAAATAATGACAATTTAACTTCTTCCTTTCCTGTGTTTTTTTTTTCCCTCTAATTTCTCCTTCCAGAACTATGTTGAATAGGAGTTGTGATAATGGACATCCTTGTCTTATTCCTGATTGACAGCTTGCAGTTCTTGACCATTTAATATATTAGCTGTTGGTTCATCAGAGATGGATTTTATGAGATTGAGGTAAAGACCATCTATTCCAATTTTCTCAAGGGTTTTTATCATGAATGAAAAGGGGAAAATAGGGGCTGGGGAGATGGCTCAGTAGAATAAGTTGCTTGCCTTGGCAAGCACAAGAACTTCAGTTCAATCGCCAGTTCTGCCAAGAAAAAAAAAAGTGGGGGGGATCACAGTGGATCCCACAGACATACAGATCATTATTAGTAGCTGCTACGAGAACCTATATTCTAACAAGATAGAAAACACAGAAGAAATGGATAGACCCCTAGACACCAGTGAACTGCCAAAACTAAGTCAAGGCAATATGAAAATTCTAAATAGCCCAATATCAGCCAATATAATTGAAAATATAATTAAACATTTATCAACAAAGAAAACCTCAAGTCCTAATGGATTCAGTGTTGAATTCTACAAGAAATTTAGAGAACTACTGCCACTGATGCTGAAGCTCTCTAAGGAAACTGAAAAGGAAGCAGTACTTCCAAAGGCATTCCTAGAAACAAGCATTACTCTGATTCCAAAACCAGCAAAAGAAAAAAAAAAAAACAACAACCAAGAAAGAAAACTACAGGCCAGTCTCCCTCACAAACTTAGATGCAAAAATCCTCAATAAGATACTGGCAAAGAGAATGCAGTAAATCATCAAGACTGTACACCATGACCAAGTAGGATTCATGCCAGGGATGTAGGGATGGTTAACACAAATAAATAAATGTAAAACACCCTATTAACGGAGCCACAGACAAAAATCACACGATCATCTCAATAGATACAGATAGTCTGTATTTAAAAATAAAGAAACCAAGAAAAAGCAAATGTGGTAAAATGTTAACATTTGCTAGGTGATTTTTTTATTGCAGCACATTTCAGTAACGATCACACCCCTCATGGGGAGTTCATATATGTATATAATAACAAAAAAGAAATAACAAGAAAGCAAAAAAAAAAAAAAATTTGCCAGGTGAAAGATATATGAGAATTCCTTATGCTGTTATTTCAACTCTTCTGTAAATCTGAAATTATGCCAAAATAAATTTTAAAACAGTGCATACATGCTAAAATTAGTTTTCATTAGCATATCCACCCGAGTAAGTTCAGAAACACCACAATGAAATACACATGACCGGATGATGAAGATAGAGAGGAAACAATTCTTCATCTAATTTTCAAAATTGAAAATGTGAGGGGGGTGTGGTGGTACACACGCATAACTGCTGCACTGGGGACAACACTGATGAAGGAAGACTGAGACCACCCTAGGCTACATAGTGAGTTGAAGACCAGCCTAAACTACACAGTGAGAGCCTGTCTGAAAATACAACAGGTGTGGTGGTACAGCCCTGTAACCCCAGCACTTGGGAGGGGGAGGCAGGAGGAGTGCCTGAAGTTTGAAGCCAGTCTAAGCTACACAGGGAGACCCTGTCTCAAAAAATGAACAACACTCAGCGGACTAAAGCACCTGCTTAGGCAGACACAGGAACCAGGGTTGGATCCCTGGTGTACCATGCTGCCCCCCCCCCCCCGGGTGCGCTGAGATGGCTGGGTGTGGTGGCAGGCGCCTGTTATCTCAACACTTGGGAAGCTGCAAACAGGAGGATCAGTAGGAGTCTGATCGGTGTAGTGAGACCCTGTAGACCCTGCACTAAACACATAAAAAAAAATAATAATAACAAAAATGAAAGTATCAGACAAACAGCTCCCACACTGGATGAACATAGAGATGTGGGAAAATGCTAATTAATAAATCAAATTAAGCAATTTTAAAATATCATTTAACATTAAGAAGCAAAAGTTAAAATGTTAATACCATAAGGATCTCATAAAATGTGTATAAACACATATTTATTCCCCTAGTCATTATAAATGACAGCATATTTAAAAAGTAACATGCTGGAGCCAGCGAGAAAGCTCAGCAGTCTAAAGTGCTTAGGCAAGCTTAGGCAATCGTAGAGGACTGTGGTTCGATTCCCTGTACCACATGCTGAGTCTACCTTGCCCCCAGGGTGGGTTGAGACAACCACAAAAAAAAAAAAAAAAAAAAAAAAAAAATTCCCGTACCTCTAAACAGATGTACTGAGGGGATGGTGAGATAGCTCAGTGACACAAGTACCTGCCTGGCAAATGCAAGTTCCTGAGTTCTATTCCTGGTACCTCCCTGAAAATAAATCAAAACAGACTAACTGAATCAAAATCTGCTGGGATACTTCCTAGTCCAGCAATGTTTTAACAAGCTCTCCAGCAGATTTCGATGCTTGCTAACATGCAAAAGTACTAAGCTAACATGTCCTGTTATTAGACAACAAACATGCAGGGAAATAACTATCTTACCAGACTGTATTCAGGCTTAATGTTGGCCCTAAACCTTAACGTTTTAAGCTGTTTCTCCCAGAAGGAACTAATTCCCCTTTTGTGCATAGGACGAAGGAACCCACAACACGAGAGAACTGGGGAACAAACTGCCTGCCCAACTTGGTCTCTTGTGGACAGATGAGGAAAGAGTTCAGCTAGCAGCAGCCTCAGGGGTCTGTCATGCTCAAAACCGTCTTAGGAAATCAGCTCCTGGAAGACCACACCAATTCAAGGATCTTCTATATAAAAATTTTGTATAAAGATCCAATTTCTCTATAAATATAAAGCAACTATTTAACTCTGCAAAAGTAACCACAGGCACTACATGAATAGTTTATTACAATGAAAAAAAATTTCTAATGTATTTAGTACAGCATCTACAGGGTCTCACTACACAGATCGTACTCATAGTGATCCTCCTGTTTTCAGCCTCCCAAGCACTGGGATTACAGCCGTGCCACCATGCCCAGTCTCAGCGCGTCCCAGGGGCAGGGCTGGCATGGCACGGCTGGGACCCAACCTCAGTCGCTGTACCTGCCTAAGCAGGTGCTTTAGTCTGCTGAGCTATTTGGCCAGCTCAAGTTCCAATGACATTTTACTTAACAAGTGGAAACAGTAGGCCAATGGCGGCCACGACCTAGTTTGTTGACCCCTCTCTCAGCCAGGGAGGCAGGGATTTACTTGCAGCTCTGGTCTGATGTCCCACAAACTGAAGGCATTCTACACAAATCCAAAATAGCGCACACCGTCCTACACCAAGACCTCCATATGGACCGTTGGCCCCAGACTGGCCTTCAAGCAGTAGGCTGAAAGACACCTACAGCTGGGCGTGGTGACACACACCTATAAGGCCAGCATTGGGAAGCTGAGGCAGGAGGAATACCTCAAGCTCAAGGCCAGCCTGGGCTACACAATTTCAAGGCCAACCTGAACTACATAGCAAGACTCTGGCTCAAAAACAAGAAGTACATCTATACTCTCTGTTCAGTATAACCTGACCCAGAGAACAAGGGTCATTGTTACGGCCTGTGTCTAGTTGGGTCCCCAAAGCCTCATGAGGTCATAGGTGGGGTGTGATGTGGGATCAAAGGTGTGTGCTTACTCAACTAGTCCAGATTGGTTTATCGTAGTTCTAGGCAGGACCAAGGGTGCCTCACCCTGCGTGAGTGCTATCTGCCCCAAGGGAGGCAGGGAGGATAAAACACAAGGCAGAGAAAGAGGGGCACGTGTTTGCTGCTTGCTACCTCACTGCTTTGCTGCCTTCTGCCTGCCCTGAGCCACTTCTCCTCTGAGATGCCCTTCTGCCACATGCCACCCTGCGTGGAGCCAGCCAACTATGAGCTGGAATCTCTACACACTATGAGCTAAATAAACCTTTCCTTCCTTACCTTTGGATGTCGGGTATTTTGTCTCAGCACTGAGAACAGGAACTAAGATAAGCACAGATGGAAAGCCTGCGTCTGTAGACTGGGGGGAGTTCTGCTAGGCAAAAGAGCTGGGCTGCACTCAGCAACAGCAAACCTAATCACCCAGACTTAAAGCCAGTGTTCACTCGAAAGGCTTTGCATTTTATACACTCGGTACCAGTAAGCTTTCCAGCACTCTAACAAAAATGTCAGTAGCCTATACAGGAGGAAAAGAGGTTTCTCAGCTCAGTTTTGAAGGTTTAAGGGCACGGCAGCGGCACAGGCTATTTTCAGGCTAGTACACGCTTGCTTTAGCACTGGAGTCACAACAGCATGGAAGACTTTACATAGCCAAACAGGAAGGCAGAGACTCTGGGGCCACACCCCATGACCTAAGGGCTGCCCACCGCCTCTGAATACCACCAATCTGGGGAGCAAGTTTGTAACACATGAACCTTTAAGGAGACACAAGTCATTCTCTCATATGAGCAGTTTTGTTTGAAACTACTTTATCAATTACTACAAATAAAAGACAAACATCTTATGATATAGATTGAGGCATTTTCTCAAAAACAAAAAAAATACATCCATATATATACATATATCTCACTATACTAGGGATCGAACCCAGAGCCTTATACTAAAGTGCCCTATCACTAGGTACATCCTCAGCCCTCCTGACTTTGGGATAGTGTCACTAAATTACCGAGATGTCTGGAACTAGCAATCCTATGTCAGCCTCAGAGTACCTGGGACTGTAAGGTGCACCACTGAGCCGCCCAGCTCCATATACATCTCTTGCCTAACAAATCTCTTGCCTAACAAAAGTGGAGTAAAGTGAGCTAGGGATGTAGCTCAGTGGTTGAGTCATTACGCAGCACGTGTAGGATTCTGGGTCAGTCCTCAGGGCCACTAAAAAAGATGGGGGCAGCATATCCTCATCACAGGACAAAAAGACCCTTTTGGGGAGGCTGAGGCAAGAAGACCTTGAGTTCGTGGCCAGCATAGGCTACAAAGTAAGACTGTACTCAAAAACAAACACACACAGAGTTAACTTTAAATTCCTTGTGCTAATTTCACTGCATGCTAATGTTCCTCCTTTGATTTTACCAAAACGATAAAAAATTAAAATATACACACAGTGCTCAAGTACCTTTCAAGTCCTGTAGTATAATGGCTTACATTCATACCATTATGAAGAAAAAAAAAAAGAAATGGAAGTCAATTTTATTTATTGAGGTGGTACCAGGGATCAAACTCGGGACCTTGCGCTTGTCAGACAAGCACTTATTCCACTGAGCTACCTCTCCAGTTCCCCGAAGTCAATTTTAAACAGCGTGCCGAGGGTTCTTGGTCTCTCCTTGGGAAGCTATAAGATGTCCTTGAATAAGGTCCTGAACCCGGGACAGAATGATCTCATTTGAGCTGCTGCAATTTTCTGGGCAGTACGGTGGGTCTATAGTCAAGACCCCAGCCACGCAGAGAGTCCTGCTTGACTCTCCGCGCTCCGTGACGGGGACATGGTTCTTCTGGAGCCACTTCTTCAGGCTGCTCTTTCTCCTCTCCAGGTCCTCGGGGCCAAAGGCATCACAGCCTCCGGACGTGAACAAGGGCGCCAGCTTCTCTCTCACCCTGTGGTCCACTTCACCCATAATTTCAACAGTCCGCACAGAATGGCCCATAATTCCAGTCACAGATAAGCTGCCGTCTTCAAGCAAGTTCACAAGGACAATACTTTGAAGGAAAAAATAAGTTCAGAGCAGATTTGCAAAAGGCAGAAGGCCCGTAAGACTATGGAAAAAATAACTGAGTCAGAGGTATCATAAACCCAAACAAGGTACAAGAATAAGAACGAACCATTGCACCTGTCTGAAATTAATCCTCTCACCATCAAATGCTTATACAGTTAAGTATTCACTGAAAAGCCTAAACATTGGAACAATCTGCCAGCTTAAAATTAATCCCTATGGGATATATGTGATATATTACCTAGAGTTAAGGGGGTTGAGGGTGTTGTTCAGTAGCATGGGTTCTGCTCAGTATGTGGAAGGCCTTGGGTTTGGGCCTCAGTATGGCGGGGATTATGAATGCCTTAAACATGTATAAGATTGGGTATAAAGTTAATTTTTAACATTAAAAATATAGTAATTGAGTATACTAAGAAAAAAAGCCAAAATATTTATACAATATAAAGAGAAACCACAGTATAACTGAATATATTAAAGCAGGCCAAAAAGCCAGGCATAGTAGCACACACCTGTAATACCAGCATTGGGAGGCTGAAGCAGGAGGATCGACATGATAAAGAGGCCAACCTGGCTTCTACAGTAAGTTGGAGGCCAAGGCCAGCCTGAACTCTGCATAGTGAGACCCTGTTTCAAACAAACAACAACAAAAAAAAAAAAAAAAAAAAAAAAAGAGAGAGAGAAAAATAGGCAGCAAAGGCCAGCAGAAAACAGTAAGAACAAATTTGTCAATATTTTTTAAACTTAATGTGACTAGGTCTGTAATTTTTTAAAAGAGGTCCGGCCAGATAGCTCAGTGGACTAAAGCACCTGCTTAGGCAGCAGCAGGGCCAGGTTCGAGCCTTAGTGTGCCATGCTGGCGCGCCTATAATCCCAGCGCTTGGGAGGCTGAAAACAGGAGAATCACTATGAGTCCGGATCTGTGTAGTGAGACCCTGTAGACCCTGCACTAAATACAAAAAAAAAAAAAAAAAAAGAATTTAAAATCTTCCCATGGAAGATATGGTGGTGGAAAAAAGCCACACAATTTTCTTTTTAAAGCCACACAATTTTATTGATAAGGTCTATCAAAACTTCCAGGATCAATCATTTCCTACCTAACCAAATTCTACTAGAAGCTATAAAAGGGAATCTGTACCTCATTTAATGAGTCTAATATAATCTTGATGCCAAAAAAGGATTGAAAAAGAATCAGTGAGCCAGAGAGATAGCTCAGTAGAATAATAAGTGCTTGCCTGGCAAGCCCAAGGGCCTGCGTTCAACCCCTGGTTCCACAAAAGAAAAAAACAAAAAAAAAAGTATATGAAATTTTTGTAACCTCTTGGTAATTTGTGGATAAATGTGCCGTAACCTCACAAGAGTCGTGCCAGGAGTGGTGGTATACACCTGTAGTCCTAGCACTCTGGGAGGCTGAGGCAGGAGGACTGCAAATTTGAGCCCAGCCTAGAAGTTAGTGACTCGGTGTGACTCTGTCTCAAAATAAAAATTTTCTTCAAAGGGGCTGGGTATGCAGCTCAGCTCAAAGGCCCTTGGCACAATCCTCAGCACCATCAATAAATAAAGAAGTCTTGCAAAAAATAAATCTGATCCCAATCAACTCTCTAGATCTGAATATAAATTTGTAACCAACATGGGAGATAAACAAACACGCTGAACCACACCATGATAATGAAACAAGCTGAGTTCAGAATGTTTGATTCTGTGTGACCCACGTTCTTCAAACTAAATAAAATGGAAAATAAAGAGTGTAGAGGCATACATTAAGCTACCTAAGAGACAAACCAACCGACCTGAGTAACTACAACAGGGAACTCTGGAAGGGAGGGATCTGAGACAAGTTGTCTTACTGTGTAGTGTAGGCTGACCTTGAACTCATTATGTAACCCCGACTGGCCTGAAACTTGCAGCCATCTGCCTGCCTCAGCTTCCCAAGTGCTGGGACTAGACTTGTGTGCCACCAAGCCTGGCCTGAAAGGGAACTTTTGAGCCAATAGAGAAAACCTAAGCACATTAGAAATTAGTTAATACTAAGTTTATTATTATTATTATTTCTTTTATTAGGCATTTTAAATTGTATTACATGTGTTTAACCTTTTTCAAGAGATAATGTTGAAGTGTTCGTGAACTGGGTTTAAAATACTTGGGGGTGGGGGTAATGTCTGTTACGAGACTTTCTACCTTTGTATATGTTTTAAATTTTCTATTAAAAATGAGAAAAAAAAATTGTTTTAAATATAGCTTAGTGGCAAAAGCACCTGCCTGGCAAGCACAAGGTCCTGAGTTCAATCCCCAGTCCACAAAGACAAGGTCCTAAATTCAATCCCCAGTACCATCCCCCCGCAAAAAAAAAATTTCTAAATCTCTGTCCTATAAATCTGCCTCGTTTGACAGCATAATCTATAGTCACAAGTCACAAAGACAACTAGTTTCAAAGGCAGTTGAATTCTTAGCGAGAACAGCCTTTGGCTAATCTGCTTTCTTTTTTTTTTTTGGCAGAACCGGGGGATTGAACTCAGGCCCTTGCGCTTGCCAGGGAAGCGCTTCTTCCACTGAGCCATCTCCCTGGCCCTAATCTGCTTTCTTAATGCGATCATAACGCGCAGGCAGCACCAAAGGCCTCCAGGATTTAGGGTGGCAGGGCGCATACTCACTTGGCAGAGACCGGGTCTGTAGTTAAAAGCCATCCTCTATACTCCTTCTTCTCGCTCGCCAGTACTCTGACTTCTTTATAAACGTAATCTTCCCATTCTAAGGGGCTTTTCTTAGTCCACTCACTCATGGTCCCCAGGTGGCTAAATCTGAAACCACCATGTTCGGATTAATATGCATGCTCCGCCCAAGCAAATGTCTTACCTGTAAACTCCGCGCTAGAAGCCGAGAACTGTGATCTGTCTCAAATTCTTATAACTTAATACAATTATGTATTCACACATTGAGCTAGTCCTGGTAGCAACCGCCAGTGGCGCCAGCTGCTCACAAGGCTGAGGCGAGAAAAATCACTCTACCCCAGCAGTCCCCAAAACTCGCGTGGAGTAAGTGAGGACTCTGTCTCAAAACAAAAGGAAAGTAAGAGGCATAGTGGCGCACACCTGTAATCCCAGCTGTCAGGAGGCTGATGCAGGAGGACTGCCACCATTTGAAGGCCAGCTGGGGCTACACAGTGAGGCCAGTAAGACCCTGTTTGCACAAAACACACACACACGCCAAAAAACGGGTGAATATGGGGACTGGAGCTGGGGACTTAGCTCAGTGGTGCAGCGGCTACCTACAAAAGTGAGGTCCTGAGTTCGATTCCCGGCACCAAAACAAACAAGGAATAGGCACTGGAACCACTTGAGATCGTTTAATGTTACCAGGACAAGGCTAACACTCTGCGGGGACACGGGGCGGCCGCGGGCGCCCCCGAAGCTCCTGCCCCACCGTCCTGTCCCACTCAGGCCCTTTCGCCCTGCCGTGGGATGCTGCTCCGCAAGAGGAGGGTCAGAGCCCTCAACCCAGCCTTCCCGCGATCGGAGTTCCCCGCACACCCGCGACCCAAACGGAAGCAGAGAACCGGGCCGCCACCCCGGCTCTGCCCGGACGTCTGCGCGGGACGGGGCTCCGAGGAGGCGGCGCGACGAAGGCTGCAGCGAAGCTCCAGAGCACTGACCCGCCGCCGCACAATACTTACACGCGCTACTTAACGTTTAACCCCGGCCAGCGGACACGAGAGGAGGTGAAACTGCATCACCTGACGCTCAGCCACACGCTGCCAGGAGAAGCCGCGAGCGCGGCGCCGGGCCCAGCATGCCTCGCGGCGTGCGTCACTTCCGTCCCCCACAAGCCCCTGTTTTGTAGTCCACACCCTGGGCGTTCCCTCCGGGTATAGGGAGTCGCGGGCTCTCGACTGCGGTGCGAGATGTTTGTGTACCGGGAGTCCTCTAAACTGGGCAGGGCCTGGCCTTGCGGACGCCACGGTGGACATCTGAAGTCGTCTGGGTGATTGCTTGCTTGCTTGCTTGGTTACTAAGGAAGAGGCTCACATCAGGTGCTAGGAGGCATAGAAAAGCACTACTGCTATGAATTAAAGCATTTAAGCCTCTAGGTAAATCCCAGAGCTCTAGAAGTGTGAAATGAACGTACTGCGGAGAAGGGTTTAGACCGCCCTTAACTCACTTTGTAGCCTAGGCTGGCCTCAAACTTGCTGCGATCCTCCTCTATAGGTAGGTCTGAGGAATGCTGGCATGTGCCACCAGCCCAGCCTCGTGAACTTTAAATTTCTCCTGCACATGTGAAAACAAAGGCAAAATTCCAAGAACAGAAAAATTCCAAGACTATGGCACCAAGATGTAAAAACATCCAAATTCAATCTGCTTTTCTATTACTACTTGGAATTAAAGCAGAGGTTTCTTATTGATGTCAATAATCCCCCTCCAAAACCTTCCTTCATTCTGAATGAGTTGCCTGATTCTATTGATGTGGCTTTAGTGGATTAGATTTTGCCAGTTAAAGCTCTCTGGACATCTACAAAGATCTAATGTAAATTCCAGTTGCTATTATATTGTGGAGGGAAAATTACCTCAAAAATTCAGTCAAAAACAATTTTTGACAAATGTTCATTTGCATTTTAAGCTTCTTTGAGTCAGGGTCTTGCTTCATAATCCAGGCTGGCCTTGAACTCACTACCTAGCCCAGGCTTGGCTAGAACTTGGAGGGATCCTCCTGCCTCAACCTCTTGAGTGGTGAGATTACAGGCGTGTGCCACCAGGCCTGGCCTTAAGCACCGTGCTATCCTGCAGAGTGAAAGCCATAAACTTTTGTTTTCTGTCTATGTGACTCTACAAGCCAAAGCTAGCCTCATATGCAGCTCACTCCAGCAGCTGTCCTTCTTCTGTTCCTGCTGCCTTTCCTCCCCGTCCACCTCCTCTCTCCATTTCCTTTCAGGCCTAGAACTCCACTCAGACTTGCCCACACACTTCAACCCTTTCATTTGCCCAATTAAAGTTTGCTCACTTTAGATTTTTTATGTCCATGAAGTTTCATTTGGGCAAGAAATATTTATTCTCAAAGGGACTTTTCTCCATAGCCCTTGGGGCATGACTGATTTTGTCATCAAGGTACAAAAACATGAATCTGATAAAATATTTCTGTTGATGAATTATTTATTTAATTTAATGAGTTTTATATCAAACAATGAGTGTGTAACAAAAAAAAGCACAAAAAAATAAAGTATTGGATTTTAAATATTTGTTATGGGAGGCTGGGGAGATAGCTCGGCGGTCTAAGCGCCTGTCTGGCAAGTGCAAGGACCTGGGTTCGCACACCTGTAATCCCAGAGCTGGGGAGGCTGAGACAGGAATCCCAGTCTGTATAGTGAGACCCTGTACCAAAAAAGTAAATACATAAATAATTTTTTAAAAAATTTATTTATAAAAAGCATCAACATTTTCAAATTCGACTGGTCTTGCATGTACAGTGTGAAAACATCTGAAATAAATTCTCATATGAATTACAATGAAAATACCAATAACTCTACAAAAAAAAAATAAGAAAGATCTTTGCTTCACTTACCACACCCAAGGCAGTCTGCACATGTGACCGCAGCACGCTCCACACACACACATTGCTTACACTGACAGCGTGTCTTTTGCTTTGCTGGCCTTTTGTAGGACATACTTGATATCTTGATGATCTTGCTGATTTGTCAGGAGATTCTTAGTATATTACATAGTACGTAGGTGACAGGAACACACACTATGAATAAAATTAATCATTAAACTTCTAACATGTATTGTGTATTTAGAATAGACATCAACATTTTCAGGCCAGAGATACAGGTCAGAGGCAGCACAGTGCCTGCCTCGCAAGCACAAGGTCCTGAGTTTGATTGCTGGTACCAAAAAAAACAAAAAACAAAAAACACATCACATCAGCTTCCAGCTAAAAGATAGCATCAGAAATAAATTCCTATGTGAGCTGGATGTGGGGACACACATCTGTAATCCCAGCACTCGGGAGGCTGAGGCAGGAGGATTGTTGGGAATTCAAGACCATCCTGGGCTACAAAATGAGCTCAACTGAACTGCATAGCAAGACCCTGTCTCAAAAACCAAGCCAAGACAAAACAAAACACAAGCTCCTGATAAGTGGCTGTTGGGAGCCCCAGAAGCTGGGAAATTGATCAAATGTGTGTGGGTGGGACTAGGCCTCAGTGCTTAAAGCAAACAAGCTAACTCAGTCCTGAGATAAACATCCTGTCTGATTAAGGTCAGCTGTTGGTCGTTCCCTAGGCAACCTTGTGTCCCAATTTACTAATTTTGCAAAGGTATAAATAAAAGTTGATTTTGTTGTGGGAGGGGAGCGTTAGTCTTGCCTACCAAGCAGACCAGCAAACACCTAGCCCAGCTTTTCTCTTCTTGTCTCTCTCTTCTCATTCCTACCACCACCACCCTTTCTCCCCCATAGAGCCAATCCAACTGAGACCAGCGGATCCCTACAAATGGCTATTTCTAGGGCTGGCATAGGGAATGTGTAAGATCAACTTAAATCACCTTACTGTCTTCAGAGAACATAGGTGCCAACTTGAAAGAACACACCCTGAGCACGTCGGCCAGTGTGAGCACAGAAATAAATGGTAGGGATTATAGCCACTGGAAAAAACGGGAGACCATACTATGTACAGATATAAACCAAGAAACCAGAAGTCAGATGAAGAATAGACTTTCAAAGCACCTCCTCCAAAATAGTTGCTAACAACAAAGTTAAAAGGGGCCAGGTGTGGTGGCACCCAGCTCTCATGAGGCTGAGGCAGGAGGATCACTGAGAGATCAAGACCAGCCGGGGCTACAATGTGAGCTCAAGGCCAGCTCAAACTGCATAGTGAGATCCTATCTCAAAAAGACAAAAAAGAGGGCCGGGGAGATGGCTCAGTGGAATAAGTGCTTCCTTGGCAAGCGCAAGGGCCTGAGTTCAATCCCCAGTTCCGCCAAAAAAAAAAAAAAGAAGAGATTAAAAAAATAAAGTCGGGCTGGAGAGATGGCTCAGTGGTCTAAAGCACCTACTTGAAACAAGCTTGGCAAAGCACAAGGACCGGGGTTCAATCCTCCAGCACCACATGCCAGCCAGCCCCGCCCCCTGGTGGGCTGAGCTGGCCACACACACACACACAATAAATAAATGTAATAAATAAAAATAAA